GCGGCCGATTCCGCGGGAGGCGCCGGTGACGATGGCGGTGCGGCCGTCGAGCGGGAGGGCGGCGGAGGAGGAGGGTTGCGTGGGAAGATCAGCGGCGGCCATGGCCTGAATCGGAGAAGGATTGTGCAGTTGATTTTGATTTGTTTAGGGATTTTAAGGTTGAAGATGAAGTCCGAAGATGCGTCACTGCTTATGTAATGGATTGCCCATAGCCACAATTCCACTACCACATTTATTCTTTATGATATTTTTTTTTCTTTTACCGAAAAATATTTATTGTGGGAATTGGGTTTTTTTTTAAGTAATTAATTTAATCTCTATAATTTTAAAATTTTTCACATTTTAACCTAACCTAGTAATGAGTGTTTTATTTTTATAACAACTTTCAACTTCTAAAATATTAGCAAGAAGTTGAATTAAGCTCGTGTTGGTCTCTACAATTTCAAGTAGTTTGCCCCTTTTAAGCATTAAAATTCAAACTGCGAATAAGATTCAGATCTAAAATCTCTAGGCTCATGTTCATTAAAAAAAAAACTTTTTTTTTAGTACAACAATTTGGAGATACCGGAAATTGAACTTCCAACCTCTAAAGAAAAAGACGTCAGCAAAAAGGCAAAAGGAGATACAATCGAGGTTGTGGGAGAAATTTCTACCCTACGATTAGACTCAAAGTTTGTTCTAAAGGGTTCACTCCGCTTGTGGGGGGAAGCATACATACCAATTGTTTATTCGCAATGATTTGAAACGAATCCGACGAAGAATTCCTTGCTTGATAGGGTCTGAGGTTCGAAATCCAAGAGCACATGCCAATTATCTCTTAAATATGTTCATATTGGCATATAAAATTAACTATTGGTAATAATCCATAGAAAGATAAATGATAGAGATCGAAATCAACTCCTTATAAAATTTTATTAGTTAAATATTATTTTCTACAAAATAAAAAAATTAGATCAAATGTCAAGTATGCACATATTGGCATATAAAGCTTCATGATATGAATTTTCGCCCCCATCCATTAGCATACAATTATACACATTTGACCAATATTATTAATAAATCAGAAAACGAAGAAAATAATTCAGTAGTTCAACTAGCAGAAGCAATTTTTGGCAAAGAATATGGAAACTAAACGTTGTGCCAAAAATTCGAACATTCATACTGAGATTTGCGCATAATTTCATTCCAACCATGTTAAATTCGAGCCAGAAAGGTTTAAATGTCTCACCTTTCTATCTATGTTGTCGTTGAAGAATCTACTACCCATGCTCTATTGGCTTGTCCTCGAGCACAGCAAATCTGGCACTTGGTTCTTCCCTTTGCCTCTCTCCTTCATAATTGAAACGTCTCCTTTCGTGACCTTTAGGAACATTAACAGATTATTCTTAGTAGCCTATAAATTGAAATTGCAGCAATCACTTGTTGGACCATTTGGAATAACAGAAATTGCATTAATAATCAAAGTCTCATCCCGAATGCTCAAGATAAGAGCAACTCGATTACCTCTTATTGGGATTCTTTCCACAAAGCCAACGATCTTCCCAGGTGGCTAGTTGATCGGCGGGAGTCGGAGAACTCTTGGATCCCACTGAGTAGTGGTCTCAAACTCAACACAGATGCAGCCTGTGGTGGCAACTTGCTTTCAACCGGGTTGGGCTTCCTGCTGCGCGACTATTTCGGATCCATCTCCGTGGTTGGGTGTCGATTTCTCCCCTTTCCACAACAACCCATAATTGCCGAACTCCTTGCGGTTCGTGAAGGTCTTCATCTTGCAATTTCTCACAACTACTCAAGGATTATGGTGGAATCAAACTCCCACAGAGCTATTTCTATGATAAATGGAGATCTTGAAACAAATGGGCCTGAGTGTGTCATTCTCCACGATATTCGATTGGCTTGTTCATTTTTTGAAGCCTGTTCGTTCATGCATGTTTGACGATAAGAAAATAGAGCGACAGATCTTCTTTCCAAGCAAAATCTTCAAGCCTCTTCTTCTCTTGAATGGACTTTCAATTTCCCCTTTGGCTTTTGCAAGTTGTTGAGAGAGAAATTTATTCATGTGTAGTCCGAGCGGCAATTCTTAATTAATGAAAGCTTTTTTTTTTCAAAATAAAAAAAAAGAATACGAAGAAAATAATTAATAAACAAAATCTAAAACTAATTGTGGAAGTGTTCTTTAGTCTAACGATTGCAAGAGCAAGGTTGGAACTATTTATTAGGATAGGATCATGGTGACATTTTCATTTATTATATATTGTTTTTCAGCTTTGGTTTTTTAGAAATATAAGTTTTCAGAAATTATTCATGTTTCTAGTTTATAATTTTTAAGAAACATTTTAAAAATGGTGTAGAAAGTTGAAAACAAACAAAATCAAGTTTGTTATTTATTGTTTTTTTTTTCTAAAACATAAATAAAATTAATATTTTATCACTATTAACTTATAAAGTGTACAATAAATACATGATAAAAAATTATATATTTAATTATGAAAATAAATTTTATATACAAAATTTACTTTTTTAATTAAAAATGTTGGACCTGTCGAAAAATTAAAAAAAATTTGGAGAATAAAAAATCAGAAACAGTACCAAACAATTTGTTTATGTTTTTTTTTTCACTAAAAAAATGTTTATGTTTATGTTTATTTTTTTATTTTTTTTTTCAGCACAATAAGAAAAAGAATTCACTCTTTTTCGGAAGACAATAATCTGATAATCTGTATTTTTCCTTATTTATTATTTTCTCAAATAAAAAAAGTTATATATATACGGGAGCACGACGATACGACGTCGTTTCGGTTTCGTCATCTCCTTCACAAAATCAGGACCAGACGCTGTTTCAAATTTTACTTCAGAAAATCTCTCGAGTGGGCGCCAAGGGCAAACGGACTTTGGAACTCCCCAAACATCATCTTGAAGCCCTAGACGAGAGAGCTTTCACAGAGCTCCTCTCAACTCCAATCATGGCGATTGCTCGCACCGGAGTCTACGTCGACGACTATTTGGAATGTACGTATCGTTTTCCATTCCTCAATTTCCCCCTTTCTTCGTCTCTGATTCGATTCCGCTTTTGCTTCGTTTTCAATCTTCGTAGATGCCAGCACATTGCCTGCCGAGCTTCAGAGGCTCCTCAACACGATCAGAGAACTCGACGATCGATCCCAGTGTAAAATCCCCGTTTTATGATTTGCTCACTTTGTAGATCGATTGCTCTGAAATTCTTATGGATTTTCGTTTCTTTTGCGTTTTGTGGTTGTAGCGATGATAGACCAGACGAGGCAGCAGACGAGATACTGCCTGGGATTGTCTTCGCAGAGCTCGAAGAAAAGTTATAACAATAGTAATGCTGAGGATGAGGAGTCCGCCTTTGAAAAACTTCGGAAGGATATTGAGGCGAATCAGGATAACGCGTTGAGTCTCTGCACTGAGAAGGTTTTGTTGGCACGTCAAGCGGGCGACCTGGTACGGCGAAATTTTATTTCTCAACCTAGTTCAGTTGCTGCGCACTTTTGTAACGTTAATTTCTCGCTGTTTCTTTTGCCTATCTTGTTTACGAGCAACCTTGAATTTCAAAATTGCCTGTAGGTAGTATGGATGTGGAGGTCGTGTACTATTTAATATTGAGTCGTTGTTAATCTTAACGTCATATTAGCGGAAGATGTTAGAAATTGGTTAATGGATGTGTATGGGTAAAATTTTATTTTAAATGCTCCAAATTTTATTCAAAGTGCTGTATTGAAATTAATTGTATTGCATTTATTCATTCAGTAGCTACATGTCATTGTGTATATTTCCGGGCTGATCTTACAGAGTTTCATGTACTATTTTTTGTCCAGATAGATAGCCATATTAAACGACTTGATGAGGATCTAAACAACTTTGCTGAAGATCTGAAACAAGGTACACAAACTTATAAGCTTTGCTGTCTCTGAGGATTAATACAAAGTTGTTTTGCTTCTTTCAACTAACAATGTTATGTATGAGGATTAATTGCTCTATCATCCGAAGAGTTGAAGGTTAGCATATAATTAGTACACCTCAAACCCATTTGTGATATTCAATTAAACAAACAAGTGTAGTGTTGTTGGATACTATAATGCATTGCGTATCTCTTCCTTCCATTCAGTTTGTATGTTTAGACAACGCTGAACTTTTTACTATTTTTCAGAGGGAAAAATTTCACCAGATGAACCTGCAGTTCTTCCACCATTGCCACTAGTTTCAAGAAATGAAAAGCGCAAACCAATATATATAACACCTCAATCTAAGAGGCCTGATTACAGAGATCGGGATTGGGATAGGGAGCGTGATCGAGATTTTGAGCTCATGCCTCCTCCAGGAGTCCATAAAAAGGACTTTGCACCTTCACTTGATGTTGGTCAGCCCATTGACCCAAATGAACCTACATATTGCATTTGTCATCAGGTTTGGATTTTGGATTCATACAAGCCTCATAATTTTACTTATTTTATCAAATGACTCATTTGCTGTTTCGCTTTCACTGTTATGCTTGCCAAACAATTTATTTGGTGTTGTTTCAACTCGATGAAAATTTTCGTTAGGTACTGGAAGAATATGGGTGGATTAGTGGGTTTATGATTTAGTTAGGTGGTTACAAATTAAAGAAGAGGAAAGGGAGTGAGAGGAAAAATATTTAGGTAATGAATGGGAGAAAGATATCCCTCTTGAGAAGCTTTCATCCTTAACCTCCCAGTTACCACAATCATAGGGGAAAAAGGAAGAAAAAGTGAAATTGAAATGAAACCTTCCATCTCATGCAATAAACCCATGAGAGTTTAATGGAAAAAAGCAGATTGTGATACGTAAAAAGAAAAGGTTACTTCTGGTTTTATATATTTAATAACGTGGAGACCTTTTGGATCATGAAATATAGCTTAAATTTGAGAACATATTTCAGTGAAAAAGCCAGTGAGAAAGCAGTGGAGACAGATAGATAGTCCATATTTTACAATTTACATTTGAAAGTTAATTCTTGTCTGCAAGACTGAAATATAAGAGAGAGAAAGAGAGTTGACTGAGCTATAACGTACCTTGAGTAGTGCAACAAGTTATAGGGAGTGAAGAGATGGGAAAGAAAATGGCAGAAAAAAATGAAGAAAGAATCAGTTTCAAAGATGAATAATAAAAACGGAAAGACAGGAAAAGTGGAGGATTTTCTTCATTTTCATCATCGTCTTCTCCCTCCTTCAGCTTTTGTTTTATGGAGCACCAATTCCGCCAAACTCAAATGTGATACTTTGGATGGTAGGTAGTGTTAGGTATGAGTATGGATGGGTTAGTCAGTAGGCATATGAGACAGTTAGTGTTGGTTAGAGTGAGTTGTTGGTAGCAAGTGGTTATAAATAAAGGGGAAAGTCTGTGAGGGAGGAAAAATATTTGGATGTAGTGTGGGAGGGAGGCTTATCATCCTTGTATACATTTTCACCAGTATTGCAAAACGGTCCAAATTTTCTTAATTTCTCCATTTCAGTTTCTGATTCCTAACATGTTTACTGGTGCCATCTAATTATCTGTTATTTTAGGTGTCATTTGGAGACATGATTGCTTGTGACAATGAAAATGTAAGTCTTCCCTTTTGCTATGCTGATGAATCTTCACATCATCCTTGTTTGTCTATCTACAACCTTTTTTCCCCTTCCTCGTGATTTTTCATCTCTAGTACAAAAAGTTGTCCTGTACGGTAAGAAAAAGTGCTAGGCAGAACAGTCTCTAAAAATGAAATTTGTGGATATTGCTCGTCTTGTAGCCTCAGGACCGTAAATATCTCAACGGATTTGATCCCATGATTTTTTTTGGGCATAGTATAATGTAGCTGGTCTTTTTCAATATGATTGCGCATATACATGAAGCTATATTAATGGAGGCAAGCTTTTGAATAAACATTCATTTTGCTCTTTGAACTTTCTAGATTCATTGCTAGAGGATCCGAGAGGGGCTGTATTTGGCTTGTTTAGACTTTGTATTGATATACGAATGTACCACATACAACCTCGTAAATTATTAAAAATTACCCTTGGGATAAGATTTGTACATGTTGGTATAGAAGCATGAGTTTTATTATCAGATCATTGTTATTCCCTTTCTGATCAGCAGTTGGATCATCATTTTATTTTTCGTTTTCTGGTTTTGGAAAAAGGCGAGCAAATAAACTCAAGTTTTAAAAACAGAACTAAAAAAATGTTATCAAATAGGCCAATTGCCAGGCTGAATTTGGTGTAATATTTATCTCCTCTTTTGTTTTTATGGCTTTGGCAGTGTCAAGGAGGTGAATGGTTCCATTATTCCTGCGTTGGACTGACTCCAGAAACAAGATTTAAAGGAAAGTGGTACTGTCCAACCTGCAAAATATTACCACAATGTCAATGATGAATTGCGTAGGCAAATTTCAGAAGCCTGTGGGAAATTCAACCGGTAAGTGTATTGTTTCCTATCGTTTGACATTTTTCACTGAAACTGAATTCGAAATTTGCCTCTAACTGTAAGTTGTAGCAATGGCAGTGGCTGTGAGATCTTTTGTTTTATTATTTCTTGTAGTATAGAAAATGTATTTTGGGGATTGAACCTTAAATCTAAAGAAAGATAAGTGGCGGCTTAACCATTGAGCTATGCTCGGGTTGACAATGAAATCTTTTATTTCAAAAGCAATCGTTTGGCTTGAGTAACCCAGAGATTGATAGGATCATGCTTTTACCTTTTTTGCTCTTTTTTCTTTTAGTTTTTTTTTTGGGATGTGTTCCAATTTGGAAGCCATTCAAAGCAAAAGATTTTGATGGGTTGTTCTAAGGAGGGGAAGTTGGTGGCCGTGTGTGAATTCTTGTGGCTAATCGAGATTCTTGTTTACTATGATTCGGTCGAGGTGGTTTGACGGTTAAAATTTTTGAGTGTATTGGTTACCCTCCATTCTGTCCCAAGAGTGACTGGGACCATTTCAGTCACGTTTTCATTCACTTGGAATCTGGACTCTTCTAGAGGGTGCTTTATGCTTTTTGATTATTGTCTTTATTAAAGCTCATCATTGGTAATAACAAAAGTGTAATGTGAGGATGATGGGAAGGGAAATGGAAAAAGCACATAAAATATTATTGTTATAAAGAAAGTCAATTTCAATAATTCCAAAAAGCACTTCTAGAGACTTTTTAACTTTCTCACAAATTGCTTTCAGAAATTTGCTTACCCTTTACTCTTCCTAATCCCTTGTTTCTTAATAATATTTCTAATACCATTCCAATAAATTTTAAATAATCAATCAACAAGTTATTTGTGAATGTGGTCAATTAATTGAACTTTTCTGTTTTTCAATCGAGACTTTAAATATTTCAAATTTTGTAAAATGACTACAAATTATTTTAAGAAAAGTAATTTTAAACACAGCATTTCTTTAAAAATTTGTCCATCAATTAATTGACTTGATAACAATAATAATTGATTGCTTTTATATTTATACAATAATAATTTATTTATATGATTAATTATTGATTTAAATGTTAATGAGGTGAATAACAAAATTATTTAATATTATTTTAGTTTTTTTTAGTTCAATGACATTGGAAGCGAGAATTCGACCCTCTGACTTTTTTTTCACAATTTTCCTCTTCAAATGATAATTTCTCATGAAAATTTAACAAGTCACACACAAAAACTTACTATGAAGAATTATCTTTCAATTTAAAATTTCTTAAAGAAAATAAATAGGGAATGATTTCCCGCAGGTACCACATTTATTATATAGTCTTATTATACGCCAGATTTGGCTCTTGTAAGTCATCCCAAGAATTGACCATTTTGTTAATTTAAAATCTTGTGAATGGCGCCAACAATGGTAACTTGAGACTTTGGAGGGAAGAACAATATCTATTGAAATTACCCAACTACCCTTCACTTTCCAAGGACAAAATAGTCACAGTTTCCAATTTTAGTGTCTCTTGTAAAGGCTAAACTTTTAGTTATTTATTTATTTTTCTAAAAAAACTATAGTTTATGTTTTCAAATTAGCAACAACCATTTGTAACAAAGGTCTTCCTTTTTTTATTTATATTGAAATTCTCATTTAATTGTCACTTTAAATAATGAATGAGAAAGAAAATATTTATATTTTTAAATTTATATACTTAATTCGGCAATCAATTTCAAATTGATTTTTTTTTCCATCAAATTGAATTATAAACTTATATTATTGGTGAAATAATATATAAATATACACTAGCCATAAATGTTATGAAAACTCAATTAACCAAAATATTTCTAACACGAACAAAGCTTAATTAGTCAAGATATTCTTTATCATTAATGGTCGGACGTTCGACTCTTCTTACCCTCGTTGTATTAAAAAATAATAAATGAAAAAAATGAAAAGAAAAGAGGTAATTAATGTACTATAAAGAGTAAATACTTACAAATATGTCGATAGAACTCAGATATTTACAAAAATATCAATAGAACACAAATATTTACAATACAGGTACAGACATGTGCCCTTGGATAGATATGGTAACTGAAATCAAAATATGTAAGTAGCAGAGAGGTTGAACTCGAAAAATGAGAACTTGGGAGTAATTTGAATGCCAAATCAAAATTTTTCATTGAGTACGCGAAATCAAATTTGACAAGTACATAAACTAAAATAAAATTGCATTTGTCAATTAGGTGGGTTAAGCCACATATATCTAACCATAAGGTTGAGGGTTCGAATTTCCACTCCCACATGTTGAGTAAATTTTTTGTTTTTTTGTTTTTCTTTTGCATTTTATCAAAATCCTACATAGAACTATGATAATATTTTTATGGAATATATATATATATATATATATATATATATATATATTTAATTAAGAATCGTGCAAATTATATTGAGCAACAGAGGGGAAAAAAAGAGACAATCTAAAGGCAGGGGAGAGGTAACCCCTCTCGAAATAACTGGAAATAACTGGAACACGAAGGCCTTTAAATCTCGAAGGATCATAAAAAGAGGATAATTACAAAAGAATTTGCTATAAGTGTAACATGGTAAACTATATCATCCTTATTCTCTCTTGTTGGAAAGGCATTTTCCCAATGAGAATAAAAATTGGGAAAATTTGAAAGTGATAAAAAATATATCTTAGGATTACATTTTATATTAAATAATTTGAAAAGAGTGAAAACCATTACTACCCATATGTGGAACTAATAAAAAAGGACAAGGAATATTAACATAATGAGAAAATTGGCGTACGAAAAAATGAGGTGAAATACTTTTATACTACAATATGTGGGATGAGGATTCGAACTCATAATCGTTTAGTAAAAAATAAGTGTTTTAATTAGTTGAACTATGTTCAAGTTAGCACAAATTAAAATTGAAAATACAAAAACCAAAATCAACGTTTTAAAAAGGAACCGAAACAACCAGTACTTAAACCCTAGAAATAAAAACAATGAATATTATTTAAGAACAAAGGTGGCAATAGCAAAATCAAAGGAGTGATGAGAAAAGAAAGATTTGAATTTGGTATAGTTTGGAAGGGTCATTATGGTCCAATGAGCAAAGTTTAAGAGAGGGGCCCACAGAAGAAGGGATAGCGGTGGAATTTCATGAAAAGATTTTGAATTCAAAGAAACAGAGCGCTGCTCAGTGCTGAATCCCCAGAAAAGGAAGGGAAAAAAAAATCCCCAAATCAAATACAAAATCGGACAGCACCACACCACACAACAAAATCCCTAATCCCTCTCCTCGAGAATCATAGTTTCTTTCTTCCATCTCCACGCCATGAAAGCAACCCCAGAAACTCAAAGGTATTCTTTATTTCTCTTCTTTTTTCCCCATTTCTGTTTCGTTTGCTGCGTTTTCTGGATACCCTTTTGCTCTGAATCCGAAACCCACTTCAGTTTTCTTGCTTACAGATTCTGTTTCTTCAACTGTTCTTACTAATTTAGAGGTGCCCACCAGCTGTTTGCTTGAATTCCTGACTGGAACTCTGCTCTTGTGTTCTAATCCGGATCTGTTTTCTTGTTTAATCCGTTCGTTTTGATTCATTTCAGGTTTGTTTTCGGCAAAAATTTGAGTCCAATGCTTCGGCGGGAATTTGCTAATCTTGATAAAGATGCTGATAGTCGCAGATCTGCGATGAAGGCACTGAGGACTTATGTGAAGGAATTGGACTCCAAGGCCATCCCGGGTTTTCTTGCTCAAGTTTCTGAGACCAGAGAAACTGGTGCATTGACTGGGGAGTGCACGATTTCTCTCTACGAAGTTCTCGCCCGTGTTCATGGCGTCAACATCGTGCCGCAGATCGACAGGATTATGACTTCCATAATCAAGACTTTGGCTTCAAGTGCTGGGTCGTTCCCTCTTCAACAGGCATGCTCTAAGGTTGTTCCGGCGATTGCGAGATATGGGATCGATCCTACCACTCCTGATGATAAGAAGAAGCATGTTATTCACTCTCTGTGTAATCCTCTTTGTGAATCTTTGTTGAGTTCTCAAGAGAGCCTCACTTCTGGGGCTGCCCTCTGCTTGAAGGCTCTGGTGGATTCAGATAACTGGCGGTTCGCTTCCGATGAGATGATTAACAAGGTTTGCCAGAATGTTGCTGGAGCTCTGGAGGAGAAGTCCACGCAAACTAATTCACACATGGGGCTTGTTACGACATTAGCAAAGCGAAATCCTCGGATTGTCGAACCATATGCTAGATTGTTACTACAGGCCGGGCTGCGAATATTGAAGGTCGGGGTAGTAGAGAAGAATTCTCAGAAGAGATTGTCTGCCATTCAAATGATTAATTTCTTGATGAAGTGTCTGGATCCTTGGAGCATATTGTCGGAACTTCAGACTATAATTGAGGAGATGGAGAATTGCCAGTCCGATCAAATGGCTTATGTCAAAGGTGCAGCCTTTGAAACTCTGCAAACTGCGAAGAGAATAGCTGCGGATAAAGGGTCGAAAATGGACAAGTCTCCGAGCTCGGTCACTGGATCAAATTTCATTGATCACAGGCGGAGAAGTCCATGGCGGAATGGTGGAAGCCGCACTCCGTCATCTGAGTCTCAAGAATCCCAGACCCTTGATTCATTTTTTGATTATGGTTCACTAGTTGGATCACCCATTTCACCAAGACAAGCCTCTCGTAATTCTGGTTTTGATTGTAGGAGTGTGAATCGTAAGCTTTGGAGTTATGAGAATGGTGGGGTTGATATTTCCCTCAAAGATGGCTTGTCTTTGTTCTCAGGAATCACTCGTGGAAACGACGTCTCCGACACCATGTCTTTGATCTCTGAAAGTCATATATTTGGCCAAAATGGCGAAGAATATGCAGATGATTTTGCAGGGTTTCTTCAAATAAGTCCTCCTAGACGCAGAGTATCAAAAAGCACTACAACCAGTCCCCTTGTAAGTTCTCTCAGCCAATTCTTGTGTATATGCCTATTTTCTCAGTATTTCATATGCCTAAATCTCTTGGCCTTGTCTTTATAGAAAGATGTTAGCTTCTTTTTCCTTTATATTGATGGCGGTTTAGTTCATCTTGATTTCTTTACTTCCATGATAGTACTGTTAGGACAGTAATTCTGGTCTAGTTCTGTGACGTTCATTAGCTTACTAATAGTCTAATACTACCTCTCTTTCATATCTTTTACTTCAGAGGTCGCGCAGTTACATAAATGTCGAAGATATGATCTTCAAAACTCCTCGGAAGCTTGTCCATTCTCTTCAAGATCTAAACGAGGCGAACTCGGACCATGCTAGCAAAAGTTTCAGACGTGCCTACAGGAGCCTATCATCAGGCAATTTGGAGTGGAGTCCAAGATCATCTTTCCATAACCAAAATGGGTTCCCAGACGATCAGAAACTCAGCAAAGAGGATGTAGGCGGCCTAGACATCAATGGTGAACAATCACAAGGCGGTTCGGAATCTGTCTCTTCTACCGATGGCATTCCAGCCCACACCGACATCCAAGCTACACCAGTGGAGGTGGCTTATCAAAGCAACATGAAAACTCAATGTTCTGGAATTGATATGGCATACAAGAAGACTGCTTTGAAACTGGTCTGTGGCTTCTCATTTTTGCTTTTCACAGTGTTCACTTCATTCCTGTTGATTAATGATCAGGACCAAGGCTCCTATCTTGTGCCAACCTAATATTCTCCTTCTACTGCCTCACCTGTCTGAAATAGGCTTAAACTGACTGTTGTAAGCTATGATGAGTGAGTTCAATGTAGAAGAAGGAAATATAGAGCTTACTCAGAAAAAGAAAGCAAATCCTATTAGATAGTTTTGGAAAATGACTCGATGTAGCACATTTCAGTGTGGTCAATGAATCTCTTGACTGTCAAAGTTTCTACACCTGTTTTTTCTCCTTTTTGTTTTTTGTACAATCTGGATTGAATCCTTGGAAGTTTTTAGGAGTGAGGAGATTTTAGCTAGTAGAGATTTGGGTTGTGTAAATGTTGAGAGCCAGTCCATACTTGTTGAGGCTGCAGGAGGATTGGTTTGAGTATGGCTGACTGAGCAACACATATGTAAGAATATTCTCCATAGTAGACATGGTTTGATCCAGGGCTGAACATGTACAGTTCATCAAATCCATCTCTCCCCACCACCACAGAGTTTCTCCTTCCCTGTGCCATGCCAAAACAAAAATGCAGGTGATTAAACCCAATCATGGAGCTTAGAAACTGGCTGGTGTGTCTAAATCTTGTAACTTTTGTGTATTTTGGTTTTTGAATTTTAAAAATGTCTATTTTGATCCTTCGAACGTAAAAAAAAATTATTATTATTTTAATCCTTGACAAGAAAAAAGGACAATGATCAATTTTTATCTTGAAAGTTGATGAGGTGTATCTATTTTTATTATAAACTTTCAATTTTGCCAAATTGCATCTATTCACTTTAAACTTTAAAAAGTGTTGCAATTTTAACGTTGGGATAGAATAATCTTTGAAAAAAAACATTTTTATGTGTGTTCAATAAACCATAAAATATACTTGCTACGAAGTTGATAGGATTTAGACAAAAGCAACACTACAATTGGTTTTTTTCTTTTTTTATTTTTCTTTTGAAATTTGTAAATTTGATAAAGTCATTTAATGGTCAATTTTGTGCATTAATCAAAATTAATTTGGTTCAAAAACTTGGTTTTCAATAAAATAATGAGTTTTTGAAGATTTTTACATTTTTACATTTTTTTTGTCAAAATTAGTTGGTGAATTAGAAGAGATTGAATAAAAATTTAGAGTTAAATTTAATGCAATTGAAAGTTTAGGAATAAAAAATAATTTTCCCCCAAAAATAACCATATTTATTGTTGCTATTAATTTGGGTCTAATATTCACTTACCCGGTCTATGATCGTGAAGTTCCGTGGAGCATTGGTGTAGATTCTGCTCATCTGCTCCATCAATTGCTTGTAGTTGTCTGTCTCTTCCCCCAGAGACTCCTCATCTTCACTCTCTCTTTGGCTGCTTCTGCTTCTGCCCCAACCAGGAAGAATCCCTTTGAGTGTTTGGCCCAATAATCCATTGGCATTGCCACTGCCACTGCCACTGCCCTGCCCATAATCTGGAGGGACAATGGCAGAATTTGATGATAATGGTGGCCATGGCCTCCTCTGGAACTCTGACCCTTCCAGTCCAATGGCGTAGGTTGCCTCTGGTGTGCTCACTGTCAAATGGCTCAAAATACAGCCCTTCAAATCTAGGGACGTTTCTCTATTGTTGGACACTGTTAGTTCAGATGTTAATAGGTCTTCTTCTAGAGTTACCAAGTATTTCAGCTCCACCATGCCCTCTGAAACTCTGCTCCTCAGCTCGACCTGAAAAGTTCCAGAACCAAATTTATAATTTAACTCGGTAACTATTCCGGTCCTTACTACTTTTAGTTACTAGTTTTGAAAAACTATAGAACCAAATGATTCAATGAATAATAGATTTTCAGTGTTTTTGAACAGGAGTTTGGTGGTAGATTTAGAAATTGAAACTCAATTCAAAAAATTGTTGAGTTCGTTGAGAGGTGGAATTCCATCCATATAAAAAAAATTGAAGACTGGTGTTCGTTAACCCACTTCAACCATGTTTAATACTGATATCAACAAAGACTCCATATTGATAACCATTCGAAGTAATGTGGCCTTTCCTAAACAAGTTTTTAGCTAAATTAGTTCTTATGGGCCATATACGACTTCATCAAGATTAAGACGATGTCTACCGAGATTCAATATTTCTTTCAGATTCAGGTAAAACTAGTTCAATGCCCGTTCTTTGTTTACTTACCGACAACACAGAGTGGTGTTTCACCTCTAAGAATCCTTAGAGCTCCCTTCACCTCCTTGTTTAGTAATGTATTTTGTAAACTATTGTAGTTACCAATTAGATATTAAAATATTTTAAATTAATTAATTAGTATTAATATATTTATATGATAAAACATCATATATATATTAATTATTATTATTATCTTTCTTATTTAGTAACGAGTAGTGTTATATTTTACATTTTAATAAAAATGAAATGAGCTTATAAAGTGTAATTTTATATTTTTTGAGATGATCTTGCATTTAAAATTTTTAAATTTAAAATTTAGAAACAGTAAAAACATATAAAAAATTTTCAGAATTTCCACTATTTAAATAACAAAATTTTAAATATTTGAAAATATAAAGATTCGAATAATCATTGATGTCCTTGTATCGTTTCAAGTACATTTCTAAATTTCAATTTCGTAGAACCATTTGAAACTTCAAACTTCCAAAATATTTTTTTCCTTTTTTTGTTAATTCAACATTTACGGAAGAAAGGATTGAGTCATTGAACTATAATAACAGTTCAATGTTATTATGTTCACATTTAACTATATTGGGTTGTGCAGAGTGCGAACCTTAAAACTCTATGAACGAATTAGAACTTTTTTTTTTTTGAAAGTACAACATCTGATTCTTATTAGATACGAGTTTAAATTAAAAGCTCATTTAAAAGGATTTATAACCACTATTTTTATTTTTCAAAGTTCCAAAGAATGAAATAGAGATTGTTTAGAGATGAAGAATCAAAATGGAGTAAACTATTAAACAAATGGAACAATAATCTTAAAGATTTAACGCCAAAATGTATAATTTGGAACCTGAATTGAGTCGCTAGGGTTTCCTCTAACATCATGAAGAGCCCAAGAAACAGCGTCGAATCGATTATCTCCGCAGTCGAGGGCTAGGGCTACGGACACGCCTCCTCGAACAACGCCGCCGCCGCCGTTCTCCTCCGACTCCGATACCGAAGAGTGTAGAATCTCAATCGATCCTCCATGCCACATCGGAGATTTGTACGACGTGATTAATCCGCTCGGGAGCATCAGAATCGCGGATCCTCCGTTTTCCAGCCGCAATTTCGCGACCAATTCGTCGCCGATTCCTTCGAATGTGACTCCGTGCCCCTGCCCGTTGAATTCCTCTTCCAAATACTCCACATTCATCGGTTCGTACGGGACCGAAGCCACTTCCGGAAGTCGGAATCGTCTTACTCTGCTGCGGATTTCGGTCGAGCGAAGAAAGCGAGGATGAGCGATGCGGCGGCGCGTCGAAGGTCGCGCGTAGGGGACGACGGCGGGAGGATGGAGGAACCTTGCGCCTGTGCTCATGGATTCCGGAGGCGGCGGCGGCGGGTGGCCGGAGAGAATGAGGCGTCCGTCGTCTCTGTCCCCTTTGCGACGGAAGTGAAGTGGATAACGTGATGATTTTAATGGACTGGTTCGTGTTGGTTTTTAATTCGGTAGTATTTATTTCATTTATCTATTTATTTGATTTTTTCACTAATTAATATTGAGAAGCTGTGAAATAAAACTGTTTAAAAAAAATTGTAACTAAAATAAATATTTAATATTTAAAAATTAAAAAGCAAAATTAGATTTGGAAAGGAAATGCGCCATTGGATATATATATATATATTTTTATTATTATTATTATTATTATTATTATTTTGACAAAGAAAGAAACTTTATTGGATAACTATTTCTATGCTTTTGGATTCTTCAATAAGTTCATTTTTCAAATTTGAATTTTGAAAATGTTCTTAAGATTATTAGTAAAATTTAAAGGAAGAAAAATAGAAAAGAAAATAAATTAATTTCTATTTTTAGAAAACCCCATTTTATCATTTTGGCAATCTCCCTCTCTCTAATATCTTTTTTATATTTACGTGCAATTAAATAAACTGTCACTCTCTATTTTTCAATGTACAAAAATATTGAATTAAACAATGGTCATTTTTTCTTGAAAAAAATGTATAACGTTGTTGGTAGGAAAGGGTTCATGAAATCAAATCAGTGTGATATACTGAATCAAATTGAATATGTTTTTGTTATGTCCAACAACAAGTGGTGCTCCATTAGTTAGTTTGATAATTAGTATGCCATTCGTTGCTGTACATGATCAGAAAAAAGTGAGTGAATAACTGAATGAAAAAAAAAGAGACTTATATTGGAGGCGATTTGTTGACCGCCACTTGTCAACGTCTGAATTCAACAATTAATGAGATGGTAACGCCACTCATTGAAGAGGATTCAACGAAGTTAAGTTTCCTCAACTCGGTGTCTTTGTTCGGAGCTACCATACCTTATACATGTCGGCCCACCTACAACAGATACGAACCGATGTTAAAGAGTAACTGATAGAGCATAGATGATAGACATGTTTCCCGACAAGATAGCTTAGTTCTAAGTTGTTGAGAGTTCGTCTCTATAAATAGAGTGCCCACCTCTCATTAAAGGTCCTAAGAACTTCGATGTAATCAGCCTGAACTTCATGGATCTGAGCTTGATCAATTTTACGATCAAACAACTTCTATTCTTCTGAGTATATCAGTCAATTCTATCATGATCGATCTATGTCTAATTGTAGTGTTCAGATAACCACGTTTGGAGAATTTAAAGTAATGATTTTAGTAAGAATAGTCAAATAGAGTATTATAAGGACTACTCGAATCAAGTTGAGTAAAAAAGTATGGTATACTAACCTTTTCAAGCGATCTCTAGTGAGCTAGTGACTAATTGAGTTGAGTTAAGTCAAAAAGTATGATATAGCAACCTTTCCGAGCAAGTCTTTGGGATCTCTTATAAACCTTATGATATGGTAAATGAATATATTAAGGGAGACGGCGAGTGGATGTTGTCATGCATAGAGCCCGATGGATCCCTATACTCTATTCTCGTCGCCTGGATAGAGCAATGCTATGATTAGTTGCACCATCTCGTAGGTGACACATTTTTGTAAATAAAATGTAACTTTCTATTTTTAGAATGACATTTTTGCGATTAAATGATTTGGTACACGTATTTTTTATTTGATATAATTTTGTAAAATGTAAAAGAATAATTAATAGATCACATGTATGGAAATATAAGAGTAAGTAATTGAAAGGCGGTTGGCTGAGGTTTTTATTTATTGTTCACAACTTTACAATTTAATTATTTCTATTTTTTTTAAACATATTGAAAAAGAATTACATGTAGCATAAAAGTTTTAATATTTTATTTAAAAACAATTAAATATTTAAAGAATTTCAAGGATTTCCTCATTATCCTATGAAGAATTTTTAGCACTCGGAATTGGAAGAGGATCTTTCTCTTGGATTTTATACTAGATTTGTAGGTATAATTCCCATATCCTACTTTTTAAAAAATTTTAAAAGTATTTTATGAATAGAAAATAAATTAAAGTTAAAATACTATTTTCACACAATATTTTGGATTTCTATTCTAGTCAATTTTAAACTCAGTTTACCTCATTAGTTTATGAGTAAATTTTTACAGAAAATCATTTTTATAAGTAATTTTTAATGTTGGTGAATCTCACATCATTTTTAATATGATATTGATATGACAAATAATGATACCCTCGCATTAACATAAAATTTCCTAGTTTGTGGTTGACTTTTACGGAAAAAATTAATCTCTATTAACCTTTCTGGTATAAATTTTGAAAACACATCCATGATAGGTATTTTTTTAATGGAAATGATTGTTATTACTATTTTGTCAAGTTATCTAAAAATTAACTTCAAACCAACGGTGAGAACTCATTTTAATACTTATATTAATGGACTAAATTTAAATATTTGAAAGTATATAAACTAAAATATAATGAATTTCAAAGTATATATAGGGACTAAAATAGTATTTTCACCATAAATGAATGAATGTAAACAACTATATGAAAGAAAGTATATGTATTTTTTTTAATTGAAGGTAACAGAAAACATCTTTTAAATTATGCATTTTCTTAATTTGGGATCATATGACTATTATCATTAAGTCATATCATTTGTTATTTTTATATTTTTTTTAAGTTTCTATAAAAAAAGAACATTGTTGTTTATTTTTATTTTTTTAGTTGGCTCAAAAAATTATGAGATTGTAAAATATTAGTTATGAAATTACAATTGAGTTATGCTCGCTTTGGTATATAAAAAAAAAATTAAAAAATCTACTCATTGATAAAATATATAAACATAAATGTGGTTAAACTAAACTTATATTATTTAATAGAAAGGCAACCACAACCAATGTTTGGTTGGAAATGACTATGGAGCCAGATAGTGATGGCCACCCAAAAGTTTTTATAATATTTCATGTAAATTGTATTCAATTATTATTTTTTTCTTCTTTGGAGCAATGTGATTTTTTAATTTGGTAGTTTAAACCAATTTTAACTTTGATCATATTAAAGTAATAAATTTAAATAAATAGTGAGATTAAATATTAGGATAATTGATATCTATGTGATTCCACGAATTACATAAATTATATGATATTATCTACTTTGCGTTTAAACTCACATGACCACTTATAGCTGACGTATGAAACACCACTTGTATTTCCAATATTTTTTTAATCTTTGTTTATTCGATTATCCAGGAGTCGGCGGCACTTATGATCCGTTGTACTCAGATATGCACATTGTCTCCATATTCAAGCTATCCCTGCGAGACACACATCCACAATAATTAATACGTGCAATTTACTTTCTACTTTTTCTAAAAAGTCAGGTTCGAACGTGACTTATGTATTGGTAATCCGAGCATTGCTCAATTAATAAGGCACCTATTACTGTCGTGAAAGGTCTATGATTCGATCTTCTGCCTATATTTTTTGAAAAATCATGTATTTGTAATGGAATATATTAAGAAACAAATATATTCAATAAAAATGTTGAGGAGTTATTAATATTCTTATATATTTTGTATCACTTTGATGACCTGAGTAAGGATGCCGATGAGTGCAAATCCTTGTGTCCGATGTTTTCATATTGCATTATTTTATTTCATTTTTAAATTTTCGATCTTTGTAAATTTTAACATCTTTAGCAAATATATTTATCATAATGGTAGCAATTGGTTATCTAAAACTGAAAATATATTTACAAAAAAAAAAAAAAGATTTAAAAATAATACCCAATTTTTATTTTATTTGTTTTACTATTCCAATTTTATATACACACAATTCATGATACATGTAACAATATCCCACTTTATAGATATTACCATTTAGATTTTAGTTTTAATTTGAGAAAAAAAAAAGCGTTTTTACCTGTTTAATTTAATAAGTTAATTTTAACCTTAATTTTAATTTTATAAAATTGAATCATAAATTTCAATATGTGTATCCTCAAAATTAAATTAGAATATTGTTTGAAAAATAAATCAATAAATCACATAATGTAATTAATAAAATATACAAAATCAAAATCATAAAAACATCCCAATCTAACTACATAACATAATCATGAAATTAAGAAAATAAAACTCAACAAGATGTTACACTCTGCCTAAAAAAGTCCAATATAGTTCAAAAAAATACTCGTAACTAATTATAAATCTTTTTTTTAATTAGATACTTAATTAATTGAGGTGTTAATTTGTTAAAAATAAAGTAATTATCAAATACCTATCTTAAAATTTTAATTTATTTGTCATCAAAGAAAGGTTAGGTAGCTATTTAAATTCATTGTTCAACAGTGCACAAATATTAATGACTCTTTTTTAATGATATGTAAAATATAATAATGACTCTACCTGTCTATTTCATTTAATTTAGCAACATTCTTTTAATTCAATTAAATCTTCTGAAAGAAAACATTATTATATTTACATATTTAAAGCATAAGTTTTTACCAATAGAAATGAATAGGCCCCAAAAACAGGAGGATGAAAATGGAATGCACCAAAGTGTCATTATTTATTGCTTTATTTACTTATTTAAGATTAAAATATTATTTTGATTTTTGTATTTTCGAATTTGGTTCATTTTAGTGATTGTACTTGGAAAATGTTCATTTTTGGTGTCGTTACTTTTAAAAAGTTATTATTTTAGTTTATCTTTACAAAATTTTAACACATATTTTATACGTAACGAAAACTCTTTAGTATAAAGTAATGTTTACATTTTAATAAATATATTGATCGTAGTGTCGTGTTGAAATTGTTATAGAAAAATAAAAATAAGAATAAAATTAAATTACCAAAATGATCACTTTTTAAAAATATAAATATTAAAATAAACTAAAGTTGAAAGTACACGGACTAAAATAAATTTTTTGAAAATAAAAAAACAAAATAAACCGAAGTATAGAGATATTTAATTACATTTGAACAAAATGGTTTTGAATATTTTAAGGGCTACTAGAGTTGTTTGATGTATGTAAATATAACTTAAATGTTTAAATATTGTTTCCATTATTAAAAATCTTGTCA